ATCGTTTCCGCTCCTCATTGCTGTACACAATCCGATTTTCGTCCCTCGTGCTCATGCGTTTTAGAAACGTCTCATTTTCATTTCGTTCGAGCAACGAGTCGCACATGGAGGCGCGGTCCATCGCATTGCGCTCGCTCCTTTCACGAGATATCTAAACATCAAGGCGCTTTACAAAACCAAATGTCTGCAGATGACCATAGATGGTTGATTTCGAAACATCAACCCTTGTCCTACTCCACGGGCAGTGATGTGCCGATTCTCTTCCGTTAACATTTTGAATTGGTCGTTTAAACAGATGATAGTCTCCCCAAGGGCTGCCGGTTTTCGAAAGCAAATTCACTCTGTTTGGATTCCGCAAACTAGTCATGCACTGTACGTTCCTCTAGGGCATGGCCTACTCAAACGTCATATATCTCTCATGCGGCTTGAGCCGCATTCTAGGCCTTGCGGTAGAAGAAATACTTCAGATGCCGAAGATGCGCACAGTGGCTCTCCATGTCCATACGAATGGCGCACAGTCAAACTTCGACAAATGTTGACAGAATTTCAATAGAAATATAGAGGAGGATCTACTCTTTCAAAAAACATGTAACTTTATTAGGTTGGATCCTTGATCTTCTGTACAACGGTTGATAAATCCGAGGTATCAAAAATCGGCGGAAACTTTTCGGGCAACCCAATAACTACAACCAGTGTTCACCCCTTTCTTTCTACCTCGCTAATTTTTGAAGAAAAATTGAGGTCTTAAAGCTCACTCCAGACCTCTACCCCTTTTTCGTCTTTCGCCTTATTAATGTGATAGTGCCATTGCTTGCACAAACTCTTTTTGCCATCATCCAGCTAAACCATTGCTTGTGGAGCCTGTTCACATGCTCTCATAAAAAAATAAAGTCTTAGAGCATTAATCAATCCCGTCAGAGGGATGCGCCCCGCATTCGACTTACATTCAGAATCGTAGTGGAGTATTGAATGCGCATGTGGCCTATACAATGACTTGCGGTGACCAACCGATGTACAAGTCAGCGCTTTCATCCTTCCAGTTGTGTCTGGTACCAATTCACCGACTTATTTACGGCTTATTGGTCTGGGCGGATATCGATCCGGGAACATGGGACCATGTGTGTGTGTGTGAAGTGCGCCACTAACACCACCTCCGCCGCATGCTCTCATTAGACGGGGGAAATGTTCTCGTTCTGCAACCACTCCACGGTGAACACGGTTTTCTTTCTTCATGAGGCTCTACCTTAAAAGAGTTCCGTCATTGCATTCACAAGAATTCCTACTTGTAAAAAAGGTTTTCTTCCGATTTGGTCTTACTCAGACTGAATACTGGGCGAGAACTGGTTTCTGAGCCCATTTGGATTATTTTAGTAGGAGTAAGTATGTAGAAGAGACTGGGGAGGTGATATCCAGTTGCAGAATTCAGAGAGCATACTAACATATAAACATTGAAAGTCGGTAATATCATAGTCTAGCTAAACATAAACATCCGCTTCCGAATGTGAAATAAATCACATCAAGACTATAAAACGAGCACTAGAAACTGTACTTCTCGTGTGATTCCCAAGCTCTTTTAGGCTATCGAAGACGCTAGTACAGCCAAATCCATTGCCAAATATCTGCGGGAATACAATGCTCTCAAGCATCAGCTCTGCTATCAGCCATCTGACCCACCCGGTACGTTTGATTGGTCCTCGTTTACAGAATTCAAATTCACCCCAATCATCTTTCAGCATTTCTTAAAAGTACGATATCGTTTCAGCTTTAGTGTGCTGCTTTCTTCCATTGTGCTATTTTTNTTTTTCTAACTTTAGAGATTTCTAATCTAATCGGTTAGTTGATGTCATATGTACACGTCCGTCTTGGATGCAACGCATGGATAGAAGACGCGGTGATTTGTCGCTGTAAAGCGAACACTGAAAGAATACATTTTACGCTGTTTCCTTCTGTTTAGCTGTGAATCATTAACTTTATTTAAGTTTAACTTCCGTCAAACAGGGTTGAGGTTGACACGGGAGAAGGCTCTATATCCTACTAGTGATTGATCCTGGCCACTTTGCTCAAGGGCCATACTGAACTTTTCGGTGGGAGCAAACAAATAATACCTTCTGGGAACTAAATCCTTCGTCTAACTCAGTTCGGATTTCAAAGGCACAAGGCAAAAATGGTTCAAGACATATCCCGCTAGAAAAAATCTGCGGCCCCCTCTTATAACATGTGTGGTGCTGTAAGGTCGGAAAAAGGCCTAGAATAGAGGCTCAAAAATTATACCGTGTATATGCGCGGACAAGTTTCAACGGCATTGTAGAGACTACACCCTTAACAAGGAACCCATGTGGGAGGTTCGAACAACTTGTCATGGCCCATGAGGACAGCGAAAGGCAATTCTGAACAGTCGAGGGCTGATGAGCTAGCTCTTTGCGCAGTTGCGACAAATGAATTGTCGTCCAAATACACTCCCACGTCGATTCCGTCGCGGTAATCTCGTCCAACCTCTTTACCTCTATCTTTGAGGTGTTCTATTTTACGCAAAATAGGCTAATTTTCTCGGTTCGTTCTTCGCTATTCATACTATACCCATCCAATACTTCCACTTTTCGAATTGGAAAGGGTGCCTCAAAATTATCGTGAACTGTGCCTTTAATCCGCATATTCTCCACAGTTCACTGTCTCAGTCTTCGTTAAAGAACGTCGTTGTCACAGAGACCACTTTTATAAGACAACTTTTGAGTTTAAGCTAATTCACCACATGCAGGTTATACAACCTTTCGCAAACGCTTTCGGTGCAAGCCCTTTCAGCATAGCGATCGGTCACCTGCGAGGGTAACAAGTCATCTCCTCTTGTCGACCTTCATCCCTGATAGCTTTCGTAGACGTTTTCAGTGTACTAAAATCTGATTGTTCTTCCCTCAGCTTTATGCTTGGCGAAAGTGCCACGCTGGCGCCGGCGTGGTCGGCTCTCCGAGGCAGCGCTCAGCTGTCGTGTCAAGATACTGCGAGTCGTCACGATGGTGAAGGTGGTGAATCGTTGGCGCCAGATGGCTGCCGACATCACCGTTGGCGCCGCATCGCTGGTCTCCTTCATTGCCGCTTCAGCGCCACGTAGTATGTCATGGAAAATAAGCATGAGTAATTCGCAAAGGCGGAGCTGTCTGGGCTTTCCAGTCGCGACCCAAGTTCGCTTGTGTTCAGCTCCGCCTTAGCGGATGGATATTCACCGCTTGTTGCATGATTTCAACACAGCATGTTTTCTACTCACTCCTTAGCAGCTTCTCCCCTCTTTTTAGCTTTTCTCATTCAGTCACTCTTTTTGCATTACAAACATTTTTACATGAATGTTTCTATCGGTCACTTTGTCTTCGATCCATTGGTGAGCGGCAGCCACTCAGCGGCCATGGCACTCCTCCTGTCATCCGCGATCTTCTCTTGCCGTTCACCAGTGGCTGTTTTCAGTATGATGTAGTTTCTGATTCTTTGCTTGCAGCAGATTCGGATGCGCTGTCTCCTTCGGTCACTTCGCCAACCTATTCTGCCGGTATGAGTGCTTCTCTATTTCAAAACTATTCTATTATTTGGTTCTTCTACGATAAACTCGACGAATTTCTTCTCTATGTCAATCTATCGTATTTCTCCTACGTAGTACGAAACCTGGAGAGTTCTCGTGGAAAAACCTTCTTACTATTCTGTTTCTGTGACTCCTTCCTTTTCTGTCTAAACATTACCTTTACTGTTTACTTTACTATTAATATACTGTGCCTGTGACGTTAGGTCAGCAATGAGCACAATCCGAAATACTGAAGCTACTTACGCCTTTTACTTGGACGACCTACTCCAGGTAAGAATCTCTGCTCGCATTATTCGTAGGACGCCCACTGAGTCAACTTCGAGAACTCCAAAGGCAGGGTTCATAGTAATGCGGCTCAGTTTTGAGCTGTATCAGCTGTACCTTTGCAAGCACTAAAGCAGCTATTCGAATCTAGGCTGGAAGATAGTGCAGAGTGATTTTGCACGTTTTCGATACTCGTTTTTGGTAATTCCTGGGAACACATTCCATCAATGAGTAAGGCTCTTCCCTTCACAAAGGTGATGTGACTTTACCATTTTTATTCACTTCTACGCGTGTAATTGTTTAAGGCTTGGTCTTTCCAAAACTCGAAGCCTAAGGCTGCCAATGGCTAACCCTACAGCAAGTAGCTATAATATTGTAAATAATATTGGAGACAACTTAAGCAGGGAAGCAGGGACTTCAAATCAGCTGAAGTATTACTGTAGCTATAGTTTGAACTCGACTCGAACGATTGCTCTGGTTCTACAAATAGTGAAGCCATCCATGGTAACTACGAGCTATGAGTGGGTTCGAGAGACATTTTGGGAGAAAATCCCAACTTTTCAAAAATAATGTGACCATTGCCATGATTCCATGAACAGAGACTGTTTAAGGCGGAAAACCAAGGCGTGGAAATGGGAAACCTGTTGCACAGCATATACCAAAATTATCCGTTAGTTGTCATCAAGCAACTTTTTCCGCAGAGAGCACTCGGTTGTTCTCTCCTAATCCAGCCCTAAAGCCATAAATCCTTATAACGCAGGAAATACCTTTAAGAAAGGCCCAACTCAAGAAAACTCCTACACAAATCTTACAGAAATCAATAGCTCTTGTAAAGACCCGTTCCATAGACATACATAGTTCTCAGTATCGCCTGGACTAAATCCCTTACTGCTCATTGCTGATTTGGCGCAGCAGTGCAAACTGGCTCATCTAACATATCCCAAAGAATCTCTCCTTCATATAACGGAAGACTCGACTCTACGAAGTTGGGAACCTTTAAATTGGTTGTAAATTTACACTTTAAAGGCCCATACGGTCGTCTACGGGAATTCACCGATGAGGAGAGCAATCTTTGCCTCCTCTTTAATCGTGTTGTTGACATCGAAAATCCAGAACGGCATACAGTATACCTGGTGATTTCGCTCTTTGTCTCATTTTTAAGGTGAGGACAAATTATGCTATTTGCTCATGAACTTTTCTAGAGATCAAAAATCTTTCAGTAACAAAAATTCGACGCCAACTGATGAGAAAGCAAACGCCAAAAAACAGTCACTACTCTTTCGTCACTTCAATACCTTGCTCGGTTTCAGCAACACCGAAAAGTGCTTCACTATTCCACCTGCTAGATTACGGTAGGTAATGGGAATGATCAGGGCATTTGAGAAGAAATCCTGATGGTGGCTGTTTCAGGAAATCTGCAGTCTGCAATGCTTTTCTTTGCGGTTTACCCGAAATACTTGATTGTAATCTGTGCATTGGTAATTTCTACTACATTGTTATTAGCCTAGTATATGTATACTTCATGGCCTTGCCATAAGGTCCAGTAACCTGAGCCTTAATGATTATCACTCAGGTAATCAACTGCTGCCGACCGTTGTTCAACTGTTACTCCACCTACCGTCTCCACAAAAGTTGGCCAGCGATCAGCACCAAAACAATTACTCGTTGAGGTTGCTGTCACAGCACTCTCGCCACCTCTGGCTGAATTCACTGATTCTTATTCTTTACAAGGTTTGGGTGTGGTCATTATGCTTTCTTTTTTGGGTAATCTCATTGGCATCTTTCATAGTCCACGACCGGTCGCGCGACCAGTCGCGCGATTGGTCGCTCGACCGGTCGAGGAGGCCGCGCTAGTTATAGGTGCCGCCGTGGACGGTCCCGCGCGATCAGTCGAGCGAACAGTCGAGCGACCAGTCGCTAGCGACCGGACGTGGACTATGAAAGATGCCATTCGAAAGTGCGTAAACATTTGAGGGACAATGTTAGATGAAAAGATGCTTGTCCTATCTGATTGTTTTGATCGGAAGCTAATGCAGTTGGTTACGTCACTGCCGAGTTTCGTCATCATGGCTTTAGAAGAAGATATGGAAAAACTGAAAGGAGGGGGAGGGGCCGGAATCACCGCAAAATTTTCAATTGTGGCGTCGTAGAGGGGAGAACCGTCACTCAGATTCACCACATACAAGGGACGGCATCCTTCAGGCATAATGTCGAGGAATCGGTGTTAATATCCGAGGAAGGAAGAACGAAGGAAAAAGTTGAGGTGTTGTTCACAATTTTCGGTCTATCCAGGAAAAGCGGAAAGATGAAATCAGTCCCGTTAAATAGCGGAGTGCAGAGACTAGACCATTGCCGAACTTTTCTGCGTCTCAGCTGTGACCTTACTCGATCATGTCCAAAAGATTGAAGACGGGCGGAGGGATGTATGTGTTTTCAGGTATCTCACTTTCTTACAGAAGCAGAAGTTCAACACCAATTGATGCCCGCAGTGACAATCTTCTCCGCCACCGGAGTCGGCCGCCAGTTTCGAAACGGTTATGGACTGTAAACAATACATGGATGTGTTTGCACCCTGAGATGTGGATGAAGAGCCGCCAGATTGACTCATGCGGAGTCACGTGGTTCCAAACGGACACCCATCATGGCTACAGGCTTCTAGGGTGTTTCAGCGGCTCTTTTCGTAAGAAAAATCGACAAAATTGAAGTGTGATAACAGTTTCTCGCCGATATTAGCGACAACCAGATGGCACTACAAAATTACAAAGGGACCCACTGTCGCTTATAACCAAGTCAAGCCTCTCGCAGCTTGAATTGAGCGGCAGCTTCTTAAAAAAAGGTACCGAAATCTGAATTCAACCTTCTCACCCACCCAAATTACAGCCGTGCGATCCTTGCTGTTTTGATCTATAACATCCAGCCGGAACTTGAGCAGCATCGTGTCCGCGTCTGTTGAGGAAAAGGAGCTGCTCAGTGCCGAGATGCTAACTGGACGCTGGGAACCGTTCGCTGAGAGCAATGGAGCTTACGTGACTGAACACTGGAATAATAGCTAATTGTCCTTTTGCAGCTCATTTTATTATGAAAAGAGCTTTCGCACTTTTGGATGACATGAACTACTATACTGTTCCATCGAAATGAAAGTTTTTGCGAGTTACAACAACATTGCTGTAAATGGCTAGTAACCTATTTCTCGCCAAACCCGTCACCAAAAGCTGGTCTAAACAGCTTCTATGTCTGAGTCGTTGATGAGATCCTATTGCTTAGTAAAATGAGCTGCATCTGCTCCTTGTTGATTGACTGTTTTCAGTACCGATTCGACCAAGTGCCCATTAGTGATGGCGTCATGCGACTGATCAACATCGTTTCCAAGACTCTGCAAGGTTCGTACCGCTTTCGACGGCTTTGACGGCCGCTAGTGACTCTGAGATAATGGCCCAAAATTAAAGGAACACATACTATTAACTAGTCTGCTAAAATCCATCCCTAACCGTCTTCGATCGACTAGCTCACCTGACCAACTAGAACACCTAAATATTTACATCTTGGGATTTTGGAGGTAACCCTAATTTCTACTCACTCTATGAAGAATTATGGAAACAGACCGTCTGAGGTTATAAAGCATAGAAAGGGTTTATTATACGTCTAGTCTCCATTTTAAGCAGACAGAGCTGAGTAAGTCCCCTCTCCCCTCTTATCACACCTAAGGGACCAAAATCTATACCCGGTACACGACCAGACATTTGAACTCCATGAAGTCGGAATGGATGATTTAATAGAACACCAAGTGGTATATCGCCTGGATGTTAGAAGACTTCTGTTGGAAGACTTGATTCTGTTATCCTAGTCAACTAAAGTCTGTCATCCCTAAATTTTGATTGGTCAACAGTTCATCCTACCCGAACTTTAGAAACTATTTTTCATGTATTTTGCGATGTTCAAGACAATTGCTGCTTTCCTAGTCCACGATTTGGCGAGCTACCAGTCGCGCGACCGATTGCTCGGCGGCGCCGTGGCTGGCGCCGCTTCCTCGACCGGTTGCGCGACTGGTCGCTCGCCAAATCGTGGACTATGAAAGCAGCCAATGAAGTAGTTATAATAAATGGAATGATAATAAGTAGTTTGTGATAGCAGACATTTCTGAGGCAGTGTTGCCATACTACCGCCAGTAGAAAGTAATGTGAGTGAACCTGTTAGTATGGGTAGGTTTAGCCCACAGCTACAGAACTTATCTATATGGTATAGGTGGGGCTAAACACCTGTTCTGTCGTCGCGGTGATCACTGATTTCTTCTGGCGATCGCTCGTAACGTCTCCATTCGTCCCTGTTCCGAGACGAAGTAGCCCAGTGGGGCTTTTTACACTCGAGGGTCACAAGTCGTAACGTTATTTTGTCCATAGCTGTCGTAAAGAAGAGTGACTACGGTGGTTACGATGGTAAATGCGAGATGTAGGACCTGGAAACTAGTTAGACACAGGAAGCATATTTCATAAGGATTTTCCAAGATCACTTCTAAATAAAATTGGCTTTTCGAAGGTCTCATCTCCTATTACCATCGTTTTGCTGTGAACTACAATATTTAGTCTTAAATATATTTCCATCTCCAGCACAAGCACATGTCTGTTGTGAAACGGACCATCCGACTGACATAGCTACTTGGGACGACATCAGTGACGAGGAGTCGGAATCACCTAAAGGAATGATCAGACCTGAGAGTCTCACCGTCACAACAATACAGGTAACGCATTTCATGGGTGATCTCTATAGATTGGTCCTCTAGCTGATAACATTTTCTCCTTTTGAGGAACATGAAGGTGAAGGTGCTATGCATCCAACCATCGTGGAACCGCGTCCGATGCGTAGGAGTGAAGCGATACGAAGGAAGGAGCCACGAAAGCAGCGCAAACCAGTGGAAAAGTACGTTTGACTATTTGCGGTGGCTGAGTGCTGCTTTTTGGGCCCAAATGGACTATCCGGAAATTGTTTCCATTGAAAAGGAGACGCTTGAACTACTATGGAGGTGCTATCTTATCGAGTTGGGGCCTGCCGTAGCGGCTGTTGCCGTATCTTGTAGTTCAATCTATCATCGACCTGTGCCCGAAATGGCCGAGGGACAGATCCGCAGAGCCCCAATCAAATTCTATATCCCCAATTGAAAAATGGCACCCGGGGGAAAAAGTTACGTCGGGTCCATCAAAACAAAAGAGTGGACTTCATAAGTGTTTCAGTGTGGAACTACGATGCGATCACTGTAATGAAAGCCTGACGTCGTTTGATGAGGAGACTATTTCTCTGTGTCTGATCGCTGTCGAGACTTTCCTACATCGGGAACCCGTGATGGCTGCACCGATTCTCTTCTCCCTCCTTCATACTGTGACTCGGTAAGTCAGTATGGTCAGTATGCGGAACTTTTGGGTCACTCAAAATGCCTATGGTTGCCTGAAAACGTAAAGGATTAATGTTCACCACAATTTCAGCCTTATTGATCACCCAATATATCCATGGCACGACTCGGATATGTTCGTTCCGGGAAATTGCCGTAGCGTCGCTAAACAAATGCTCCGGGTGACCCTTCATCAGGTATGGTAACGATGAGATTGATCATAGGGAAAGGCTACGTGTTATGTATGTCGAAATTGTTGTTGTTGGAGATTCAACTAGAGAACTACTTGGGTTAAAGGCTGAAGAAATACAAAAAGGGCAAGGCTTCCCTATCCATCTGTTCAGAGGGTTGGGACATTTCCTCAGATGTAGCGGTTTTTATGCAGTTATATCGAACCCAAGATATTCGACTGCCAAGGGAGAGCAAATTCCTTTTTTCGAAGTTCTGATTCTACTTTCTTGACGGTGGAGATGTTAGTAGATCTCAACGAAAGCAGCGCCTACAGTGGCCACGACCCCTTCATAAAAAAGTTTCCCCAAAAGCAAGATCATTGAACTTTAAACAAAATGAACGTCAACATTATAAAAAAAACTTCTGTATGAAAAATTATTTGCAGCTATCATCGTCCGGTATCTGTATGCAACTCTTTGACACACCTCTCCCTCGTAGGGATTCCTTTTGGAAGGTCGTCTCAATTTCTCTGGCGGACTTCCAAGAACTCTCACCTGTCTACTTCATTCAACTACTCTTCGAAGTAATTTTCAGCTTAGTCAAATGTCTTTTCAACTCGTAATGCCCACACTTTCAGGATCTCTCTGAAAACTGGCTACCGCATCTGTCGACAACTATGCGTAACTTAGCTGCATACATTGTTGAAGTGCCTTTCGACGCCTATATCAACCACTGGAGTACGGCGATCGCTCACATGGAGTCATTCTTTAGAAGATATCATACGCAGGTATGCGATTACTGTTATGGCTACTCTGGTTCTCTGCCTGCGAAGTACGTGATCCCATTTTCAGATCTCGGTGGAGGGTGCCGCAAAGCCAACACGATCCGAAGTGGAAAGCGCTATTGTCGTAATGAGCCACGTGCTGAAAGTACAGAATTTCAGCGCATTCAAGGTTGGCGTTTCCTTTTGTGTTGTTGAATCTTTTCAACAGTCACCGTCGCTTTTCGTTGAGTTGTGTAGGAGAGGTAGCAGTTACGTTCAGGAAAGTAGTCTTACTGGTTTCATGACCTAATGTAACCCTTCAATTTCCGATCGTGAGATACCGGTCTGATTGCCGCTTCACGCCGGTCTCCAATCCTTTTCCTGTTGAACCTGCATCCCTCCTAACTCCTACCTTGCATCCTTTCAAATTTGGCCGCTTTCGAGAGAACGGAGTTTGCCAACTTCTAGCGTAACACGCACGGACACACCCCATGCGCACACCGCCCACCGTAAGTGAAGTTCAGCTCGACCTGTGTGTTCAAGCAACTTAGTTCATTTCCCACTTACTCCAATTGACTGCAGATTTTTACTCCGACGACGCTAATTTCCCCCTGAGTCCCATCCATACCCACTACAGTCCCCATGGGCGGAATACAGTTCAGTCTTTCTCTACCACCTGCCATCGGTATCTTTATCGTGCAGCCCGCAAAGCTCCTTAAATTGAACCCCTAAATCCCAATCAACACTTTCGCGCAAGCTTCGCTCCTTGTAGACAAAGTCCAGTCGTGCCACTTTCCGTCAGTGTTCCCACCCTGCCACATGTACCTCTACCAAATCAACCACTCCGATGGAACAGCGGTGCGCATGCATTTGTCTGGGTTCCCCGCAATTCCAACATTAGCCTGCGTTAACATTTTTTTTTTGTTCACACGGGGGAGGTGTACGTTGCTGGTGGTGTTGCCTACATCTCGAAGATGCAACTTTTTACTTAACTCATAATTGACCTGATTGCGTTCGTTTCCAGTCAGCCGTCTCGTTAGTGGACTCGTTTTGCAAATGGCTTGCAGAGGGTCTACATGAGTGTCCTGTGAAGCTCGAAAGCCTTCTGACAATATGTACTGCCTGCAATAGAGCTCTGATTCGGGTACGTTAACATTCCGTGATTGATCGAGTTCCGAGCTGGCTGACGCCAAAAGACAACAACTCAGCTGAAGCGCTCTAAACTATGACAATTTTTTTGCTTCTATCTGTCTCCCAAGTTTTCGAATTTACTACTACCTACTTGGACTAGCTGCAATTAGGTAGTTTATTTTAGGAACGAGACAAGCAAAGCGTTTCCCGTGCTGTTGTCGCAGAAATGATTCAGGCCATCAAATTCAAATGTCCTATGCACGAAACGAACTTCATAACCATAGCAAATCTTATCCTTCAAGACGCTGGGGAAGGTCAATTGGAGATTTTTCTCCAAGGAACTGAGTTTACTGTGACTTTTTCAGACATCGAAATGAACATACAAGACGACCAGTTCAATACAGCCGCATCAGAGGCCGTCAGGCCGTTCCTGTTCGAAATTCTTGATTTTATCGCCGATCTACACGTTTTGGCTAAACTAAAGGTGATTTCTGTGGCAACGGATGTTATTGTACAGCTGTTCATTACTCGATATCCACAGTGGAATGAAGAAAGCATTTCAGAAAGAAACGAATTCCGATTCAGTTGGAGGTGACTTGAAGGTAAAACTTGCTGAAGCCATAGCTGTCGAAATGAGTCGCTCGAATGCTCGCGACTGTCGTACTGTGATTCGATTCATCCCGTGGCTTATGAGTCCACCGAGTGTTACACAGGTTTGTTCACTGACAGATCTTTTATATAATTTTGGCTAGGAACCTCTAGCCAGCAGCACTGGAATACAGACGGCTGACATATCCATCGTTTACCGTGCCTCCTCAGGTCCAAGATGGAGGCCTAAACACAAAAAATCGTCAAGTTTACGACTTTATCGCGCAAAAACATTCTTTTCGCATGAAAAGGAACCATCAGACTTTGCAAATGGTCCGGACACTTGGCAGTTCTTTCTTTTCAGGCTGCTCCTGGGGCATTCGCAGACTCCGTGACGAACGTTCGAGTTCTTTCCTGGCTACTTCTTGGAGCCTTGCATGCGAATCACGGATGTCTACCAGTTCCGATTGAATGCAGTCAGCACATGGCAGACTATATTCACTTCGTACTCGCTGGTTTCGCTGACCAATCCAAGGTCTGCTGTTGGACTTGTGGGTTTGTGCAAGTAGTTCTACTTACTAACCATCCTATCGTTTCAGCAGTCTGTTGTTCATATGTCCGCACTATTTCATGCGTTCCATCTTTGCCAGTTATGGACGGTTTATTGTGAGCGAGCCGCTGTGTTTAGGTAATTGCTGCCTACTTTATGTTATTATTTTGCAACATTTTATCAGGCAAAGTTGTCTTTTATATTTTCATTTATTCTATTTGATAGCATACGATCGTACGAACAATCGGAACAGGATTTATCTGATTGTATCGGAGGAACCGTGTTCCGATTGGACGTACACATATGTTGAGAGCCGATACCAGAAAAAGAAACAGGTTCACAAAAGAAAATCAAACAAAAGAATCAGTTATAAAGTGAAGAATCTGGTAAGCCCCTCAAGTATGTATGACATCGAATCGAAGCAAAAAATGAACCAACCCGTTATAACTCTCAAGCCAACATTTCCTTTAAAGGCACTGTCAACGAATAAATGGTTTCGAAGATATGCACATGGTTAGAATTCTAAGCCCCCTCTGATAACATTTGTGCAGGAATTAGGTCGGAAAACGGCTGGATAGGGCACAATAAGGCCAGGAACAGTGGGGGACGGGAGGCCTCCGCCCCTCGTTAGGCTGACTACGTGTTCAAGTTGTCCTTCACCACATTCGCACTGGAGCGAAGTTGGTGAAAAATCGATACGCTGATTGGCAAATTGCCACGAATCATCAGCTGGTCGACCGCCTCGTACAGGAGCTAGTATTCGGTTGTTATTTCTATTTTATGTTTGTTATTTCTATTGTTTTTTTTTTTGATATGAATTTTTCACGGTAGCTTTCTTCAACTATTCTCGTAAGTTTATTGAAGATTTTAACATATTTTGGGTAGATTATTGCATGCAAATGTTTTTTTATTTTAGAAACTCCGTTAATTTCAATGTGTTGTCTGTATTGCAGACATTGCGCCGCCTTCGTGCATTCTCGCTCGAACACTCCCTAACCGCAGTTTTTTTCAATGTGAAATTCGTCCACCCCCTCTTTCCAGCTCTTTTTTGTCCCTTTGTAATTCTTTTTGTTCCTCGTTTTTTTTGCGCTTTTTCGTTGTTATCGCTTTATTCTAGAGTAGTTCTATCTATTCCCGTCAAAAAAAGGGTACCCTTACTTTTTTGTTAACAGTGCCTTTAACACCATTTTGAACTAACACAATCTTCTTTCGGTAACGAATTAATGAAATTCGGAGGAAACCAGCATGACAAAAAGTTAGTTCCAACGTTAGATCTAACCGAGAAATGACGATTTCAATCTATCTCCTATAGTGTTAGACCTATAAAGTAAGAGGTATCCGAAGGTCAATAGTTTAGAATATTCGGATGTTGAGAGCTTACATGTGTAGTTTATGGGATGTTGGCGAGCGGGAAAGATGGAGGCTCCTTCATAGTGAGAATCAAAATATGAAGTTGCTTAAGCCTAATGGAAAGACTAAGTCAAGCGACTGGGTCACAGGCTGGAAGGTTTTTCTGTTCCTGAACAAGCTTGCGGGCACTTTGCAGGAATCTTCACGGAAATTTGATTTTTTTTCCTGCAACAGTTCTGAAACTTCCATGGGAAGACTGTGAATCGATCAACTATAACAAGGTTTCAATCCGACCTTTTTCCGGGTTGAAGTGTTGAAACGAGACGTAGTGCACAGAACTGTTCGGAAGTGGTTTCAACGCAATATACTTATTATCTTTCAATGGGCTTCAACAGCGGATTGGCCGGATGTGTATATACATATTTACAAGTCCAATACTACAGAAATTTCTGGAATATTCCAGAAAAACCTGAACTATTCACAATTTCCGGCTAGGGGGTGACGTAGTAGTTCTATTTCTTTAGAACACATGAGTTTGTTTGTGTGAACAGTTTTTGTTACGGTATTTTTGTTAATTTTATCTTTACCTGTTTTAATGTCGCAGTTGTCAGGGGGGCATACGGTTTGCGCTTGGTCCACGGCAGTCAGCCAATGGGAAGATAACATGGACAAATGCAAATCGTATGCTCCACTCACACTTCATGGTACCGTAATGTCATCTCGAGACCTTGGTGGGGTGCGCCGCGCGCGAAGTGGGCGGGGTGACCTACTTTCGACGGACGCGCGTAACGGACGCTCACCAATTTGAAGAGCAACCCTTACTCCTATTTTCTATGGAAGACTGAAACAGTTCTTCGCGTATATCTGTGATTTGAATGTCATGTGGGTAGTATACCATATAAAGACAAAAGATTTCACCAAATGAAACGCAACCAATATAGAAGCCTAACAAGAAAGATAATTGATTACTTCTGTATTTCATTAATGGCAGTTATTCAATATGACAAGAAAACTTAAAAACAATTTTAGTTCACCAACAGCGTTTCCGCATTTGTTGGATTTCTGGGCCCGAGTAACGCCTGCGATTCTTCAACTTCTCAACCACTCAAAAGTGGTAAGTTTCTCGATTGTGTTTTGCTAACTTCCTACCACGTTGTAAGAACAACACTATTGCATCAAATTCCCCTAAGCCACCACTACTCTGCACCGCTTTGGGGTGATAGAAACTTGTCTACCCTGTAACAAGTTGTGAATTGAGGGTGGCCTAGCCCCTTGCGAACCATTACTCAGGTTCGTTCAGTTTAGAAAAGACTTTGTTGCATGGAGCTTTCCACAGATGTTTTCATTCAATGTTGGCGAATCCTGGAGTCATGGGAACGTGGGTTCGTTAGCAGTATCATTACGTTGGGGGTCCGTCCATGGGCGTTTTGTTGTCGATGCCTGACCCAATTTGTTGGAGAATCCTTGTCACAAAAGCGTGTTTCTGACGGAATCAGTAGTAATGCCAGATCGTCATCAGGCGTAGAGGACCCCCGCACCAGTTCCGTGGCTAGTGTCTGAGAACCTCGAAGAGTGAACGACCTAGGCATAATTTTTTACATCGAATAGAAACTCTGAATGTTAGATTGTTTAGTGGAATGTCCGATCGCTGAAGGCTAGAGAAGCCGAGAAAGGAGCTCTACTACAAAACTTTGGTTGAATCCTTGCTATGAGGGCAGACACGAAATAAGGTTGCTGGACAGTAATATACGCGTCGGCTACCCCTGGTGCGAAAAAGAAGAGTTCGGTCTAGCACGGGTACGGAACTTCTCCCCTATCGCGGCATTCTCTCTTGCGGCATGCGGCAAATGTCACTGCAATTACCGTACACACCCCGCCTCCCCGCCAATCGATAGGACGCGATATTTTTCGTTTATTGCCTTGCTTTTTTATTGGATTTGATCGTTTTTTCTTGTTTCTTTTTCGTTATCATGTTTATTAGACTTGATTAATTAAAATGACTCCTCCTATGTAAGCGACGATCAAGACTGCATTGAAATTGAAGAAAGCGGTCAGCCAATTCAAATAATTAAAGGACTCCCTACCTCACAAATTGCGCGCTCCAACCTTCCATCGCAATCCGGCGGGTGCGGCGTGCGCGACGGCGTGTTAAGGGAGAAGTTCCCGGCCCGTCTAGCACTAGCTTCTCCAAGCAGTCATAATTCATAGCCATAAGCTTTCCAGGAGAGCGGGGATAAAAATGTAGCGAAGAATTCGATGGTGGAAAGTGCAGGTAGTGAGAAAAGATGCCGTCACGCTAAGGATTCTGAGAATTAATCTCCCAAACGCTCAAAGATTTATCCAGCAAAAAAGGAACGACACAGTGAAGATAATCCTGCAATGTGCATAAGAAACAGAGGATGAGACGTGGCCTGGATTGAATGACGCACAGAGCTGAAGGCATCAGAGAGCATCCTGCGAATTCTGCAGTACTTCTGTAGACAATATATTTTATTTCACGGCATAACCTTATTTGAATGCTAAAATTTTCACGAGTGAAAAAGGGGCTTTGGGCAAGGACACAGCGTGGGTGGTGGTGCAGCTAGAAGGTCGCGTGGTGCATTTCTGAAAGTGGTGCGCAAATGATGTTGCAAAAAGCCGTGAAGCGGAATGGAGGCGAGTACAGAAAATGCTGTCTGCGGAGGATTTATTGTTAAGGAAGAGAAGAGAAAGACCTCCTTGCTCAATTCCTAAAAACTACGATCTATATACTCGTTCTGTGAAGACAGGAGCTTTCTTTCAAAATTAGCAGGCATGCCGATCCTGCTGTAGAGGACCTCAACAAATATTTTGGCCCCTGGTGATATTAGGTATATCATTCTAAGATTTTGTCCTTTGGCGTTCAAACGGTAGCTCTACGAATAGGGATAGAATGGTTTTGTGAGGATCCAAACCAAAGCAACTATTATGTCATATTCTCAGACTACGAGTTCTTTTATCGATGTACTTCTAAACGTTGTTGTCCCTGCCCTTGCTCACAGATGTTTTCTGAGTAAAGGAATGATACGAAGGTTGTCTGAACGCCTGGCCAAAATTTCTACATTTTGAACTGTGATTGAGATCCTGTCTGGTTGTGAAATTCTTGAAATCGTGCCATTCCCGGCTAATATGAAAGTCCTCAAAAATTTTCAAACTAACTCATCTCCATTTCAGCTGGCTGATATGGTCAACCTTCACTTCCTCAATACTATCCAAGCCCTGCAGCAAGTGAATTCTGCCTTGTTGTGTCAACTCTATCCGATGTGGGCTCCGATTCTCACAGCGTACCATAGCCAAATTCCTCATCAACTTAGGTAAGGGTTCGGTTTCAAAAATCAGTTGAAAATGGGCTGATACTTCGATTTCAGAATGAAGTTGGATTCCTGTGAGAACCAGCCGTCTATTTCACCACCACCGCTTTCCGATTGGTTGAAAAAAGTCCGCTACAAAATCTCTCAAGTGGAACTGCAAACATCAGCAGCGTCTCCATACTATAATGTGTAGATATCATAGAGTAAATCTGATTATTGTAGGGTTAATAGGTACTGTAGAGTCATTGCCAAGACATGGTGCTATTTTGATGTACAAATGTGTATTGTTACGATGTATTTGCATCGTGCAACGATGTCAGCGACGTCTTCTCTTTAATAAAGATCTCAATGAAGATTACAACAGAAAATTCGTTTCTCCATGGAGACCTTGAGAGGATTTCGCGAAACAATGTAGCTGATACGGATAAAAATCAACAAAAAACTGGTTCAGCTTCTTAATGGAATCATTAATAAGTTCTTCCTTCAGTGCCGCATCCTTCCGAGTCGCCTGATTTTGTTTGCCGGTACGTTTTTAACTACCATGCTAGATCACTACTGAGCAATATTTTGACTTTTAGTCCTTCAATTGAATCCTGGCCTCCACTCTTCTTCGCTAAAGTTTAACGAGAATGGAGTCTTTATAGGGTTCAATTAGGAAGTCTGCAAAACAAAGAAAGACCTAGCGTCAAACGAGAGAAATCGAAGTCAAGAAGTTGATGAAGTTCCTTGCACATAATTTAGCGACCGAGTAGAAAGCCATTCCCATTAAAATAAAAGCTACAGAAAGACAACGGGACCGCCCTTGAATGCTTTAACAGTTCAGGAGTTTATTAACATGCTTCAGCGAGAAGCATACAGCAAAATGATTAAAGGAAAGAGAATAAACTTTTGGGCATCAGCGATCCCGTCTGAGGGATGCGCCCTCCGCATTCCACTTCCATTCAAAATCTTAGTGGCGTAATGAGTGCGTATGTGACCTACACAATGACTTACGGTGGCCAGCCGATGTACAAGTCAGTGCTTTTATCCTCCCAGACGAGTCTGAAACCTACTCATCGATCCCGGAGAGATGGAATGCCCCTGAAGCTCTGTTGGCTTGGACGGATATCGATCAAGGATTTGAACCCGTGACCATGCCTGGGTGATATTGCGCCACGTCCCACTACACCAACTCCGCTTCAAGAAGTATACTACATAGCCAAAAAAATTGGCGTATCATCACCTGTGGTCCCGTTAATCGTCGATTTCCTCGAATGGGCGCCAGTAACATCTCCATTCGTCCCTCTCACGAACCAGAGTGGTCCAGTGAATCGCTTCAGGGACACGAGGTTCAACATTCCTTTTCTTCAGAGCGTATCGTATTTTGCAAAAAATTTTCCGAGATAGCTAAGGACGCTGATATTGACGAAACAGTTCCAGACGGTTGTGCAATCGTAGAACATAAATCATTCTCAATGATAAGGGCGTCGCTGAATCGATTGTGGTTCTTAGTAGACCGTTTCGCTGATAATTTTTTTGTTTTCCTATGCTCTCTCAATCTTATGTTTTGTACCTGACCGCTTCTGAGCCCGAGAGATGGAGTGCAATCGGAGAACTAACTTACCTGCTGAAATATTTGCATTCCCGCATATTTTTCTCATAAAACTTGAGCTTACTCGATCAAATCACGCCCGGGAAACCTGCCGTTTCCATTATTACGGGACCCGCTGATTCACTCAAATGATATTGGAGACCTGAGAGGATAAAATCACTGCCTTGCACATCAGCTGGCCATCGCAGGACACTCAAATAAAGGAGACGGACGCATTCAAAACGCCACTATGATGCTGAACCGAGTTCAAACTCGTGGTTAACTTGTAGACATTATTTTGTGAACCTCTTTTCAAACTTCATTCATAGAAGTGCAATTCAAACTCACCATGGATAACGGTTTCTCAATTTCTCTCTTTGATAAAGTTGTGATACCCAAGCCATCGCAGGAAATGGTGTTGGGTCGAAAAACTGCCTAGGTAAGGCCTAGAACGGGCCCAAATTCGGTTTAGTCGACGTACAAATCGAAAGCGGACGAGTTCTAACGATAATATAAAGGCTGTAGAGACTAATCCATCCGCATTGGGACCCACACGCTGCTTACAGGCAGCTTACTGTAGCCAGCTGGAATCAATGGCACACACATTCGGACAGCTCGTCCAAATACCCCTTCCATGCAAGTTTTTTGATCACTCTCCCT